TTACCATTATCCTGTGTACCAGATTGTATACGCTTGCAGGCGACATCCATCCAGCTGCACAAAAGTATATTATGCCATCCACTTCTATGCAGTGAATGCAATTCTATTGCACATGCAGCACACGGGCAATTACCGAACCAGGCAAATATAATCAAAGTCCTCAATACAAAACTTCCGGATACAGGCACAAAACTTTTTTTCTTTCAATAACTTTCTTTTTTGTTCGAAAGACGAAAGTAATATGTGTATAAAAAGAAAAAAAGAAAAATTCACTTCTAATAGATTGTAATTACGATTATATATCGCTGTAATATTTTTATAAACACATACATGTATTTTAATGACAATATTTACGATCATTTTTTATTCTTCTCGGACAGAATTCCAAAATTATTCCATATCTTGATTTCTCACTTTTACGAAGATATCATGCATGGAAAAATTAAAGTTAAATAAATGTAAGCTTACTCGTCTGTTTATTTCCTTCAAATACTCTATAATGAATGAGGAGTAAAAGAATATTTAAATTTTCTATTTTAACTGTATGACAACGATTTTAATCATATATGATATATGTAAATCATCTGTAGAATAAAACTATGCATATTATGTATATATATATATATATATATATATATATATATATATATATATATATATACTATGTATGCGTTGTGATAACAAGAACATAAATAGTGTAAATAATGATGTATCCACATCACAGAAATTTAGACACACACACACAGACATATACACACACACATATATATACACACATATATACATATATATACATACATATATATATATATATATAGAGAGAGAGAGAGATAGATAGATAGATAGATAGATAGATAGATAGATAGATAGATAGATAGATAGATAGATAGATAGATAATATTCGCTAAAAATGAGCATACATGATCAAAAAATGCTGCATCTTAAAAAATTAAAGTTTTATCGCAAAAACCATTGCGTTATTATTAAGAGGCAAAACCAAATGATTTTTTATTATTAAATTATATCTTTTAATCCTTTTTAGAACCTTCGACATTTTTGGTTAAAATGACAGTTTCGCGGTAAAAAAAACACATTGATTGGAAATTCTTGCAAAAATCAAATAATTGTCCGATTTTAATGAACCTTTCCGGATTTATTTACAAATAAATTAAATTATTTTTTAAATGTTTCTTATTTAGAAAATCTTGGTAAATTTTTGTTTTCCCCACTCACCCAGAAACGTTCATTTAATTTTATGAAATTCGAAAAATTCATTATTGTAGAGCTTAATGCTTATATCTTAAATCCTTGGAGAACTGAAATCATCATTTTTTTTGTCACACAAGAACCCCAGTTACAGAAAATCTGCTCTGAATCGTTAAATACAAATACTATAAACCTAAGACATTCGATATATTATGAACACTATTGTCTTAATAAAAAAAAGTTTTTCGAGGAATAATATATTATTACAAGAATTGTTTACATTTTTTTTAATATTAATTATAATAATTTATAAAATTTTAAATCTTTTAAAATCCTGTATTAATTTGTATCGGTTAGATGGTAGTTTTATTAAATAAAAACTATATTCACTAATCATAAATAGGAAAACTTAGTACAATTAAGTGACCACCAATATTTTAAATAAAAATAAAATATTAGATTACTTAGAATATTTTCCTGAATTTTTAAGATTACAGGGCAATTGAAAATATGTAAAAAATGCGTTTCTTTACATGTCAAGTAATTTATACAGTTATGTGCCCTTTACTTAAAAATGCTACACATTACGCGATCGATTAAATCTAAAATCAGCTCTTAAAACACTCACTCCCTTGTAAAAAATGCTTTTCTGTGGTATTTTAAATTAAAAGTAAATAATATTTGTTTGAATGTAGATTAATTAAACATTACATCAGTTAATCATCCTCATAATAATTTCAAAAAAATATATTTTATTTTTGAGAGATTTTTTAATAAAGGTTATACCGACTGATTTGTCAGTATGACCACTTTCAGCGATTTTACAAATTAAAAACATTTCAATCATTTTGTTTAAGCATTTTACTTATTGTAAATATTATATTTAATATATTACCTAGGAATTAAAACTAACGAATTTTAAAACTTACGTATCGTTTTTTTGTCGAAGGTAACTATATACATACATACACATATATATATATATATATATATATATTTATTAAAGACATTTTATGTTTAACGTTATTTATTTATAGATACAAGTATTTAAGCAAATGCTCTGTTTATGATAAACAGTATTAAATAACATTTACCGGCCTGAATGTCCGAGAAATTTTCATAGAAAATATTCGTTCTTTGACAGGATTCGAACCTGCATCCTATACGGAACCGTCATTTACGCTGACGTGCCTTAACCTTTCTCGGACATTCAGGCCGGTAAATGTTATTTAATACTGTTTATCATAAACAGAGCATTTTCTTAAATACTTGTATCTATAAATAACAACGTTAAACATAAAAAATGTCTTTAATAAATAAATTGTCGGACCTTGACCTTTTCCATTATATATATATATATATATATATATATATATATATATATATATATATATATATATATATATGGAGGGGGTGTGTGTATTCATATGAATGTATAAGAACATATGAAATACACAAATAAATGTGTGTGTGTGTATATACACACACACACGCACGCACACATGCCACTAAGATGCAAGAGGGAAATGGACGTGAAACAGAAATAACCGGAAACCAATCCAAACAAGGAATAAAGCTCTAATACTCTTCCAAAGACGAGGAAGAGTGTAAACTGGATGACAGATGCTATTAGCCAAAGGTTCTGGGAATCTATTTCGAAGGCGACTATGAAAACTAGGTGTTATGTAGAACATGATCTAATTCCCCAAAAGCTTACTCGACTGCAATGTTGGCAAGTAAAAAAAGTTTCTAGTGGAGAAGAGTAATTTAACTTTTATTTTTAAAGAAATGATTTTATTTAGTCAGTAACATTTGCATTTCAGTGGTGACATGTGACGTCGTCAATTGAGAATGAGAGTCAATGTTTGCTGCCCAATCAAAGTTTTCTCTTCTTTTTCATTATTCTTGAACTGGTTTTGTTTTTGAAAATAAATTTAACTGCTTTAATGCCAGCTTTTCTTATTTGGTCTTCATCAACATTGTTTGCGTCATTTGGTTTGCTTGTGATATTGTATATAATGTTCGTTTTGCAAAGTATTCAAAGAAAGAAACAAACATTAGAAAAAAGAACGAAAATAAAACAGAAAGTATGAAAGAAAAAAGAAAGAAAATTGAATGATTAGGAAAAAAAAGAAAAGAAAAATGAAAAGAAAGAATTAATGACAGCAAAAATTTTCACTGTAAATTGTATTATGAATTAATAAGAATAAAGTAGTAATTACTTTTGAATGTGTTAGAATCGAAATAAACTATCAGCTGATCCGTAAAGTATGCTACAACTAAGAAGTTCCTAGACCAAACATTTAAATGTGAAGTCAGTTTTATGTTTACATAAACGTAAACATACACCCCACCCTCACATACATACAAACATACACACACACACACACACATATATATATATATATATATTACTATTATATGTGCCTGTATCCGGAAGTTTTGTATTGAGGACTTTGATTATATTTGCCTGGTTCGGTAATTGCCTGTGTGTGTATGTGCAATATATATATATATATATATATATATATATATATATTGGAATTGCATATTTTATTATAAAATAGTGAGTATATTTTGCACGTATTAACCTGGCATTAACTCTATTGTATATATTACTATTCAGGTAACTTTCTAGTCATTTTAATTATTTTTGTATCCATGTTAAAGCACCGGTTACAGGAAATATATCCTTAATTATCAATGGCATATATTCTTGAAGATACTGCTTTTTTAAGCCATCTTAACGTAGGCGATCAGGACGTAGGCGACCAGGACATAGATGATCATGGCTCATCATAAATTTCTGACAGATGTGTAAATTGATAAGGCATCTGTGGAAAGATAGTGGAGTGATTTTTCGTTGAGTTATCCACATTTTATCATTCAGAGTAGTCATTTTACTAGATTGACTGCTATTCAAGGCTAGATAGCCCAGTCAATTCTACTATTTAACCCATAGCTGGGGTTGGTGGTGTGTGGAAAAAGATATGAATTAATACCTTTCCCAAGAGTATAAGTTGAAGGCGAATGCAACAGATTTGCCCGGAATTTGAGCTCTACTCACAGTTTGCATTTTACGCGCCAATAACAGTTACCCGAAAATCACATTGTTAAGTTTTCAGTAAATAAAATCAACAGATAATCTTCATCAAAAAGTGACATCTCTAATCAGACCAGAAGAAGTTGGAGCCGGATAATTCGACATCTTAAATGTGTGAAAAGCCACAGATCTTATAACTGGAAGGCGTCGTATATTTCTGAACGTATCCACCAAAATGTATCTCATTCATTGGGAGGTGTTTTGTTGTCATAAGAAGCGTGGCATTGAATAAATCTATTTAGATTAGCGAAGTCTTTTTTAAACAAGAGTGGCGTGTCTGCCTTTGCCGCTACAATGGTACGTACCAGGTGTCATAAGATATTTTGTTCACTTACATCAAATGATTAAGTGTTCATTGAATGTGATTTTACTGCCCTGTATCATTCACCTTACGAAGAGTGTTATATAAGAAAAGAAGTAATATTTGCGGCGATTACGTACCCTTAGCGTTAAGAGAAGAACGACAAAAAGAAGATTAACAAACGTTCTTTTAAAGAAGATGCTTGTTTGGCGAGGATAAATACATAAATAAGGGGTCCTGGTTAAATGTTGATACGGCGAGGTTGGGCAGGAAAATAGTTAATGCTGATAGGGGACCGGATTGTTTGTTGCAGAAGACGTTTATTCTGAAGCACTAACAGCTGATTCGAAAGGAGCACCCTCATCATTTGCTAGGTCGGGGATCGGGTGGGGGTTGGCGTTGTGGCTCTTGACGGAAGTGGTACAAGGAGTATTGTACATTGAAAGGAGCCATGTTTTGAATTGCTTATTTGTAACACCGAGGGAGCCCGCAACGTTTAAGAAGCCACTCTTAAGATGGCAAGGTTGTTGTCACTGCAAGTGCGTTTTCTCTCCCTTTTCATCTCCCAGTTACTCTTTCATTCTCTCAATTGCCCTCCTCTCTCTCTTTCTCTTTCTCTCTCTCTCTCTCTCTCTCTCTCTCTCTATTTCTCCTTTATCAGTCACTCCTTTTATTGTCTTTATCCATCAATGTGCATTGACGTATCTATTAGATTTTACAATTTTGCGTGTACTTGTGCGCGAATGTCTATATTCCTCAGTGCATTCACGCGTGTTGAACATTTAATAGTAATATTCCCAATATATATATATATATATATATATGTGTGTGTGTGTGGATATTTGCTTTTCTAAATATGATGGACAATCAAATAGAATCGATTGTTTGATCTTCTTTGTTTTACTATGTCCAACCCTTTGAGAGATATTTAAATCCGAATCACATTACGGATTGTTGGGGGTGCTTACAGCAACGGCTATGCCCAATCGATCCCTCCATCTAACTAATGATGATCGAATGTGAACCATTTTGTTGTTGTTGTTGTTGTTGTTTTGGGGGTTTTTTACGGTGATTTGAACCTTATGCGGTGAAATGGAAGTTAATGTCCTTTGGAAGAACGTGTTCGTTGATAGTGATTGGGGCCAACTGCTTGCTTTTTCATTGAGTTTCAATTGCTGGTACCATAGGCAAATGGAAAAATATTGCTCGAGGCCGGCAATTGAGAACGTAGGTAGATGGATTTATTGTTGATTATAAGCTACTTCGCTTTTATCTGTCTAGCGATCCTTCTTCATGGCTATATGTCTATTAAAAAGAGCCTTTGCACATATATATATATATATATATATGTATGTATAAAGTCATTATATGATTAGATCCCATGGTGTAAGGATATTAATGGTTATTTTGATGTAAGTCATACTATGTATATATACTCGTCTGAGCATATATATTTTATGTGCAGGTTTGTGCTTGCGTGGCGTGTTTGCACCTGCACATTTTGTAATTGATCTCGTACAGGTAAAGATGCAGTTATGAATATGAGTTAGTAATGTAAATTTACATACAACCATGTGCATATTGTGCAGGTGATCATGTTCATATGCGTAATATGCATTCATATACATTGGCATTCATTACTGAGATGGTACTTTTCTAAGGAGAGCACAAGGCTGTAAGTATGGGGCACCCAGTGAGGATCGAATTCACTATTCCGCCATAATTGATCTAGCGAAACAGATTTACTAACCATTACGCCGCGTCGAAGTGCTCATACTAGTATTGATATGTACGATCAATACAATACGTTTTGTGCACACTTTTAGTTTTTACATTACTGTATACCTACTTTTGCACCCCCATGTATTTATGTACTTAAAGATTTATTAATAAATAGTTATAAAGATAGATGTACTTAAAATAAATTTACTTAAATAGATAGATATTGCAGTCCAAGACAGGTGTATTTAAAATTGATATACTTAAAATGTTCTTAAATAGATAGATATTGCAGTCCAAGACAGGTGTATTTAAAATTGATATACTTAAAATGTTCTTAAATAGATAGATATTGCAGTCCAAGACAGGTGTATTTAAAATTGATATACTTAAAATGTTCTTAAATAGATAGATATTGCAGTCCAAGACAGGTGTATTTAAAATTGATATACTTAAAATGTTCTTAAATAGATAGATATTGCAGTCAGAAATAGATATATTTAAATAAATGTACGTAAATAGAAAGTTATTACAGTCTAAATAGATGCACCCAAAAGAGAAATACTATTTGCATATAAAAGTAAATGTTACAATCCAAAATAAATTTACCTAAAATAGATGTACTTAAAATAATTCTTAATGTTCTTAAATGAGTAGATATTGCAGTCCAAAACAGATTTACTTAATATAAATGTACTTAAATCGATAGACTCAAAATAGATGCATTTAAAATAAATGTATTTAAATAAATGGATATTTCAGTACGAAATAGATGTACTCAAACATGATTTACTTAAATTAAATGTATCTAAATAGATAGATATTAAAGTCTAAATAGGTGTATTTACAATAGATGTACTTAAAATAAACATAAATAACTAGATATATATTACAGTCCAACGTAGATGTACCCAAAATAGACGTACTTGAAATAGATTTACTTAAATACATAGATAGTAAAGTCCTAAAATATATGTGTTTAAATTGATAACAATATTATTCTATTGTATGTTTATATAAACACCCGAATATAAATGAACGATTAAATGTACAAACTACAGAGCACGCAATGATGAATATATTTACTAGTAATGTCTATGGAGATAAGCACTCGAAAAACGCTCAAGCCTTTTTGGTCACTTCAAATAAATACGAAGGTCAGCTGAAAAGTTCATAACCTGACTATGAAAGAGTTATGCTACAGCTGTGAAATGTTGCATGTATTAATTTCAGTTCTTAGTAACTGCATTGTTTCTATCCGTGTAGAATGTAAATTGACATCTGATTGTTCAAAGAAAACTCCAAAAGTAACTCGTAGCGACTGTATATGAGCTAATGAGAGACGTATGACAAAAGTTAGACAGATATCTCGAATTTCAAACAAGGACCTATCTAAATGAAGAATATTCTATTAACGGAATAAGAACTTGTTGGTTTTACTATTAACATACTTTTTGCATTTTTTCTGTTTAAAACATCAAATTCATCTGATCGATTATCTTCTCTTGTGACCTATCTGCCCAGATTTTATTCAAAACACAAAGGAAATCGATTTTAATAGAATTTATTCAGTATATTTATTACATTACTCGCCATAATGGCCAAATAAATATTTCATACAATTTAACTTGGCTATGGACGTTGCTTAATAACTTTTTAGACTTGGCATTCTCAAGTTATTTCTGTATGTCATTGAACTTCATTTCTCCATAAATCAGAACTGTTTTTATCCAGTTAATCATCAATAAATACTAAAAGAAGTCCTTCCGAGAAATTGATGTTTGTTTTACTGATTTGAAATTGATGTTTGGTTTTCTGATTTGAAATTGATGTTTGGTATTCCGATTTGAAATTGATGTTTGTTTTTTTTGGGGGGGAGAGGTATTTGAAATTCCTCTGAACTGCAAAATATTTGACGGACCACTACTACTCTAAATTGCTCCCATAACCGAAAATATCCTATGTTGGCTCGCAGTGCAAACAATTGTGATAGCAGTATTGGTCATGCCATTTTAAAACCTACAGTTGACATTTTTAAAAAAAATGATAAACTATGGATTCATCTGAAAAGATAATAGCTTGCAGAAAATCATGAGTCTGTCCATAATGTCAACTGTCCACGTCTACCTATGTTCAATGTTAGTCAGTTGAAGAACTGACTAGCTTCTTACTGTTCTGTTATTATAACGAGTATAATGGTGACTATGCGTTGTCATATCTGCCGCTTGGTGACTATATTTCTATTAATTTCACATTTCATCATCAGAATGAAAAAAAAAAAAACTTTTTAATAGTTCAACCCACAGAAATAAACATGGTGGTTTCCTTTCCTTGATTAATTAAATATACGATTACACGCTTCCTAGCTGAAGGCGGAATTCTCGATTTTGCCGTTGAAGTGATCCACATTTGAGCAATTAGAAAGTATAATGGGATATTTATAGTAAATCGAATGATCGTTTAAAAATATAATTTTATTAGTATAATTAATTCTTCTCTCCTACAGAGGGGTAAAACTTTCCAAAAGAAGCTATCATCATCATCATCATCAAAGCTGTTTCGATTCGAACACTCATTGCAAAATTCATCTTCAGCATGTTTTGCTTGTTTCCGAGCATACCCATCTACTCAGGCCCATTTGTATTTCTTCAACGTGCAAAGAGCCAAATTATACTGCAGCTAAGCGGACATTTACAGTTCAAGTATGTGTCCACCCCCACCCCCATGGCTACATACGGCTTCGTGTCCTTCTCCTAGACTGGTTGCCAACAACGACTGTAGAGCCCAGTCGGTCCTAATATTTAACCCATAGCTGGATAGAAGAGAGGGATTCACACCTTTCACAGAGATATTTGTACGGAAGTGAATGTACCGATCTCTGAATTCGAACTCGGGTTACACCATCTCCACATGCACCCAAAAAGAAGCCACCGACCAAATAAAAGCTTAGACGTATTTCGTCTTTAAATCTTGAAATAATCAAGAAGAGTCAAAGAAGGATAACACAAAAACAAAAGAATTAAAAAACCATCTATTAGCACCTTGACTTTCCCATTTATGTATTGTAGAACAATCACATAGTCAAGATAAACACTCAGTTGTGGAGCAAGCTGAGTGAATAATAACTCCACCTTGAGAAAAAGAGCTATTTATGGTGCCATGGAGCATCTCATTGTGCTAAAGTAGGATAGTCCATTGCTTGGGCTGTGATTGGCTGCTGGTACATAAGTAGAGGTATTTCTGTATAAATACCAGCCTGGTTCATCAGTTAGTTTGCAGGGTTTGTATTGAGTTACAACCTGCTTTATTTTTGTCTGTCAGCTGGACGCTAGCTGGGACCCTTACGCCGGTAAGTGCTGTTTATTGTATTGTTATTCTACATGTATGATAAGCATGTTCACTTATTGGCAACAAATAATATCTATTACCATAACAACTGAATATTTCATTATTAAAAAGAGGGGATTCAGGCAGCGTGACCGATAAAGATATATAAATCACATTGTGTTTTATACTAGAGAATAGATTAAATAACAAATCTTATTAAAATAATGGTATCGTTTTACTTGAATAATATTTCTGTATGCATATATACATGTATATATGCATGTATGCGCATATTGGCCACCACTGTACAACCCTTTCTCACCAGTTAACTTGTCATTTACTGAAACTTAGTGCAAACCATCATACCATAGATAACGAAAATACAACTATCGACAAATATTAGTTGATGATGCCAAAATATTATACATTACCCAAAATACTGAAAACGATATTTTAAAGTATGCGTAAAATATTGAATATTCTTATAAAAAATAGTAATACTTATAAAACATTCTTTTCCGGGAGAATCACACTCTGTGAAAGCGTTCTACACATAATGTCACTTATCCGATACGCGCATATTTGAATTTGAATGGTACTGGTGAATTTTGGGTCCACAGTAAAATGCCATGATGTCGCCAAAAAAATACTGTCTACCACACTGATAACATTCAGTTCTTGGTAATGACAGAAACGTTCGAAAATACTCGTAGAAAAACAGAACAAAAATATGAACCGTTTATCCAGAATTCAGATTCAGATTTACAACAACTTATTCGAAAAATAGGAAAAAGTACAATAAAAAGATTAAACAGTCTTTGTCGGTTCAATGTAGCAAAACTTTTTAAAATGAATTCTTGCTGCCTCAACATAGTTTATTTAAGCCTATATTAGATAGATAGATAGATAGATAGATTTTCTTTCTTTTTATGTGCCGTGTCCGTTCAGGACGTGAGCGATCATGGCTCTCCCCACTAACCCTTGTGGCTCTCAATAAGTTTCGTGCCTCTGCCAACTCTCCCAGACCACGTTCTGCTATCCACTTGCTTAAGCCCACCAGGCATGTCATTCATTACTTTCCCTTGCCTCTTTTCTCCTCTATTCTATCTGTGAGTATCAGATTCTCCAGGCCATCCTTTTTCATTACGTGTCCCAGAAGTTTCATCTGCTTCTTCCTTATGTTAAGTATAAGCTTCCTCCTTGTTTACATCCATTCCAAGACATGATCATTGCTCACACGCTCTCTCTCTATGATATCCTTAGCATCCTTCTGTAGAACCACATCTCCGCTGCATCGAGTTTCTTCTTCATCTTTGAGGAGACCTTCCAACGTTCGCTGCCATATATGAGCAACTCAGCACTCCTTTCTTTGTCACCAAAGAAATCCTCCTGCCTCGCAGTACACTTCCCACCGTTTGGAATGCATTCTTGGCCATTCCAATCCGTCTTCGGATCTCAGCATCGCATCTACCGTCCTATAGTTCAAATATACGTAAGTATATAATTTGAATCGTAAATACTTGATATAAATACTTTTCTTGTTCATTGGAACGATTAAATATAAATGAACGGACGGAAGATAAATAGACTTGAATAGACATAGATAGATAGATAGATAGATAGATAGATAGATAGTTAGATAGATAGATAGATATGAACAGACTGAGATAGATAGATAGATAGATAGATAGATAGATAGATAGATAGATAGATAGATGTTACAGTCCAAAAAATATATAAATATATAAATTGAATCGTAAATACTTCATATAAATATTTTTTTTTATATATTGTTTGTTCACTGGAAAAAGTCCAATATAAATGAATGGACGGAAGTACAATAGATAGATAGATAGATAGATAGATAGATAGATAGATAGATAGATAGATAGATAGATGTTACAGTCCAAAAATATATAAATATATAAATTGAATCGTAAATACTTCATATAAATATTTTTTTATATATTGTTTGTTCACTGGAAAAAGTTCAATATAAATGAATGGACGGAAGTACAAGTGATAGATAGATAGATAGATAGATAGATAGATAGATAGATAGATAGATAGATAGATAGATAGATAGATGTTACAGTCCAAAAATATATAAATATATAAATTGAATCGTAAATACTTCATATAAATATTTTTTTATATATTGTTTGTTCACTGGAAAAAGTTCAATATAAATGAATGGACGGAAGTACAAATGATAGATAGATAGATAGATAGATAGATAGATAGATAGATAGATAGATAGATAGATAGATAGATAGATAGATAGATAGATGGTGCCAATCATCCTGTCTGCTGCTTTTTTTGTTGACACTTTCGCCTCGGATCCGATGTATTTTAAACTCATGGATGCATACACTCATACATACATACATACATAAATGAACGATTTAAATTACCATAGACTCATTGTGTTCCTTTCGGCTAGATATGCCCCCTGTTAAACAATCTGTACAAAGCACATTGTATATATTCTCTAAATAAATCTGAATGATTCACTCGGCTGGAATTTGTAACGAACGAGGATGCTGCTGGGTAGAACTTTTCAGCCAGAAGCTATGAATTTGTTATCGCTTATTGTTTACTACGAGTTATTTTACTTGTATATTTGTAATAGAATTATTACCGTCCATTTTTTTTAGGCATTGGAGATCTGAGAACTGAAAATTTCTCCATTCTTCCAAATAAGTTCAAGGCTTTTCATAACAAACACTGAAAAATACTACCTCTTTTCACATTATTGTCTTAATAACAGTTGAAGGCTAACATTAATAGATATTAGTGGACATAAATATTGGATTAAATCATAAGTAATTTCCGTTTCGGAGATGCAGTTGTAATGATGAATGTATCACCCTAACTAATCGTTCCTAAATAGCTCATAACAGGCGATGTAAATTGGGTTGCATACAACAATATTAAACGCAAAAGTTAGTGGTTTGACAAGATTAAATCAGTACAAACGAACCCAAAGTTAATCTCCCTGGAAAATAGGTAATTTTGCGTGGTTCATTTAAATTTTTTAAACCGCAATATAAAATGCATATTTATACGTTCAGCAGCTGCAACCTATCCATCAAAGATCTGTGACAATGCAAGACGGCATGCAGTAAGAACAAGCCGGGAAAAAAACTGGGAATTTGGTTGGTCTGTTTTACTCCAGTGCTATATTCACTTGACCTTGCACCAACCGATTATTACTTTTTCAATCGCTGCGAAACGCTTGAAGTTAATGAAAACCAGATTCAAGAGTTCGTCAAAAATGTTTTTCTCATCAAAACCTGCAGAAGTTTTACAAAAAAAAAAAGGTATGGAAGAGCTGCCTGATAAGTAACAACGAATCATTGCAAAAAAACTGATTTTTAAAAAAAGAATAATTTTTATAAACGCAATTCAAATTATTGAAAATATAAAAAAAATATTAAATATAAATCTTTATTTGAAATATTTTACATGCAGCAACTTCAAACATTGTACTTTGAGTTAACATTAATAGGAACTGAAAAACATTATTTAGGGAAGAAAATCAGGAACTGAAAATTGTAATTAAAAATAGGAAAAATTGCGCTCGGTATATTATACCCATGGTTAATGTTCTATGGTTAAAACAATAAATATTACCGAAGAGTGTTTAAAAAGCGATGTCTTTGGAAAACCTTTCTTTTGACAATACTTCTTATTGCGAGCAAGTTTACACATGTTTGCCGAAAAATTCTCGCGCATGCTATTACTGAACAATGATGTTTCGTGGGATCATTTGTTATCTAGTAAAATATTGGAATGATGAAAAGGTTTCCAGTAATTTTTATAACATCTTTTCATCATACATCATTTTTCACTCATCAATTATTTCTTTCCCTTGACATTCTATAATATTATGCTGCCTGTTTGTGAAATTGTTTATTCTATCATCAAAGAACGATTGCGATTTTGATTCGATGAATTCTTCTAATAATTTTTGGATATTCTGTAATTTTTTAAACCAATTTGATTATCAGAATACAGCAAATATAGAGATACTTTCTATCTCAGCTCCGTAATCTTTCGATATGCTTCATTTAAATATGAACATGTCATGCGGCAAATTAGGCATTCAGCTTCCTTCGAATGAGTCATTCAAATTCTCACAATACCACTGAGCAGTAATAGTTTCATTGCAACAGTGACTGACATCATAAAAGATGATCTACCTCTAACGACTGATATTGTCTAGAGGACTAACGGTAGATTGTTTGACATTGCTGGTTTTTGCTGAAAAACTTTTGTAATGCCAACGAATACTCGTTGCCAATTTCTTAATACGCACTGTAGTAGAGACTTTGAAATCGCAGATACAATTATAATACGCCGTTGAACTATACTGGTGTCAGACGCCTTCGTATATCGCTCGCACTGATAGTACTTGCTCGATAATACTCACTCAAACAGTAATCCGTATAGTGATCCAAAAAGAGAAATAGTATAGTGAATATTGAATACCTGTACGTATAGTAATAGAGGATAAACTAGAAATTGAGATGCGAATCGTATAGAGGATAAACTTGAATGACTATCATTTAGACACAAAGCAAATCCCTAGTTATGCGTTTCCACTATGGTCTACTTAATTCAATAATGGGATCGCATGTGTTTGCTCACTGGCGATCTATGTTCAAACTCAAGTGTCGACCGCGACACTTTATTCCTATATAAAAAAAATAAAACAGTGATTAAGTTTCAATATGCAAATGACGATAGTGTTGCAGCAATTTCTGAATCATATCTGCAACAAATACTGAATGTCTTCACCAATGAATGAATTTCCGGATATGCAAGATATTACTGTAAATATTTTAGTAGTAAAAACTAAACAAGTAAACAAATTTATTGCCGCCTACATAATAAAAAAAAAAATAGGTAAATATGGACGCTTGGCCGAGCGGCTAGAACGTTCACTTTCATCTGTGTTGATTTTTGAGAAAGGTCACTTCTTGATGTTATCGGTCTGGGAAAGTGACCTTAGCGTTCAGCACCTTTGGAAAGTTCAATGAAAACCACATCACGGGTTTATCCGAGCCTTTTGAGCGAAATTGTGTAGACGGAACTTTTCGAAAGCTAGCGACGGTTGTGTTAGCACGAAGTCACAAATGATCGTGACCGACGAGTCGTTCAATCTGTTAATCATAACAGACTGTCCGCGCTATCCCAGAAACTCTATCAAAGGTCGGTCCAGCGTAGTTGTAGCATAAACCACAAGTTGACTCAATGGGTGTTAAACAAACACATATTTGCCTGAGCAGGTGGTTGCGTCAGGGACTGTCTAGCCACTCTAGCAGACGTGTATCCCTGGACAACAAGAGTAACTGACCATAGGTAAATAGATGTATGCAACCTTACATCAATCGTTAAAGAAATGCCTTCTAAGTTGCGCACATGTTACACGTGCACCGTCTTTCTTACGACTAGTTGTTTTATGAAAAAAAGTATAGCTCGGATCTCGCGAGAATTTGTTTACAGTGAAAATCAATATTCGAAATCAAAATTTTAACTAAATTCTAACATATCTTATTAATGCAGAGAACCAGTTTATGACCGTTTCAGCTGCCAAATGGTTATTTTCATGGGCATAGAAAAATAGATAGATGGTAAGAAAAATGACACACTAAATGGTAATGCTGATATTAGGCGTTTCCTTATAAAGAAAATATTCGGCATTCATTGACTGAGCAGCTTGTCGAGATGTCGGTTGACATTTATAAAATCTTTCTCTTAAAACAATTTTTTTTACAGGAAAATAATATTCTGAAGTCCAGTAGCTGTTATATCTCTTTCTAGTACTGGTGGGAGTTTGATTTCTAACCTTTTATTTGAAGTAGCGTGGAATGTCAATATGTTGATTATGTAATTGTTTTCTCTACATGTGATATCCATTTCAGCTGTTGCTGCTGTTGAAATTATGGTTTCTGGTATTTGGTACAGTTCTTTTTGATTCTGTAGCGCCAGCCCACAAGGTTCGGTGAAGTGTGATCTTCACCAAGATCTATAAGCTTCACTAAGCCATTTTAAATCGCATAAGTTAATTAAAATACTGATTGAAAACGGTTTCTTTGATTAAAAAGCGAAAAGAGGTTTGATTCCTGTTGGAAAGCAGATTTTCTTTATTAAGTCTTTTGATCTCTAGTTCGGTAGACATTAATTTTATTTTCCAAAAACAGGGATGCCTGCCAACTAAATGTAACGTTTATAAGAAGAAATAGACATGTATAAATATACTAGACTTATAGTCCAGTCACTCTGAACGTGTTGATTCTCCTCTGGACACCGAAGTTAAAGCATTGTTCAGTAATTCCATGAATGACCGCTTAGGACAATGTAATTTGCTTGTTGCCTCATGCCAGATCAAGACAATTTTATCGATATGCACATTTTATTTTTAACCCGGCATACTTTTATCATTTGAACGGATTAGCGGATACCCGTATTTCAGTAGACGCCCCGTTTATCTTAAACAGTATTTTACTTCACACACGAGAAAACTTATCAAAGAAAATGCGCCCCCACCCCGGACAGGACTCAGATAGAAAGAGAAAATATACATATTCACTTGATTTTCTTTAACTCTCTCTCTTTCACTCTCTTGCTCGCTTTTGCTTTCTCCACCTCTCTCTTTCTCTCCCCCTTTCTTTCTCTCTTATTTTTTTTGGTCTCTTTCTCTTCACTATATGACATATATTTGATCCTCTTTCTCTCTTTGCACCTTTACATATACCACTAGTCTCTCATTTGCTTCTTCAATTGCTTAGACACATTTAACGATATTTCTATAACGACTCCGCATGGGTTGGCGTCTCACATGTCGAGTCGTGTTCGCTTCACCTGTTCGAAATACACTTTTTAGCTTTCTTCCATTTTCTTAACTTCCATCACCGTCATTGTACACCTCAACCATCCCCGGAGCTAATGCCAATTATTTTCTTCCTCTTCTCATCTTTCTTTTTATATTTGCTTATTCTAAAATTATTGGGTCATTGACTCTTTAACTCATTTCCTCTTGTGCCTTTTTTCCCTTCTTTACTTTGTGTTAACAGATTTTTATACAGTGCAATAATATTCAAGTTGTTGCCTATAAAATGTGACACGGTTATAATCGGTTGTCGCAGACAAAAAGTGAACATACGCATAAGCATTAAAAACGAAAACAACTAAATTCAAGAATGTTGGGATTTTTCTTTTAGATTTTATACACTTTCAAACATCTTAGTCATTAACACTTGTAAAATTTCTAAGCCCGTCTGTTCAGCACCACGA